TAATAGTCTGAATTATGTGGGTCTTTCATTAATCTGATTGTTTTAACAAAGACCTGCATAAATTATTGGAGAGATCAGTAAAGATTTATAAGCGTTGCCATGGGAAGAGGATGTATCGGTAGGGGCTCACAGCTTCAAGAATAACTAATTGTTTGGTAAGAGTAACGCACCAGCGCAGGTGGAGCTGAGAAACCAACGCAGAAGGCAGACAGGTCCAGGCTGTTGTTATAGGGTGATTTTATTGGGGAACGGACAGACAGAAGTGTGGTTTTGGGCAACTACAAGACGGGTAGATCTCCATGCCCTTATGCCCCAGACCCAGGGATTATATCCCGTAGGGAAGGGGCACACAAGCTTCAGAGGGAATAGGTAGGAATTTGATCTAAGGGCAGGATTTACTGGAAGTATGTGCTATTACGCAAGGAGCAGTAGATAAATTGGAAATCTCAGAGGCATTCCCAGAACTGGGGTTAATCAGAAGTCAACATGGCATATTAGCTTCCAAGACAGAGTTACTTTAGCCTCCACACAAATGCAAGCAGAGTGAATTTTATATTGTTTAGCAAGGTGGAGTATGTTAATGGAGCACTTTATTAAGCAGAGCTCTTTAGTGAATTTTACTTCTAGGTAGAGCAGCCCTTTTAAAACAAAGTTTTGCTTTTGTGATAGTCTGAGTGTGCTTTGAACACCGCTTCACTCTGAAGCCTTAGCGCCTTCAAGCCTTGCTCCTCAAAGCTGGTCTGTGGCTCAGGGTCACCTGGGAACTTTTAGGAATGCAGAGTCCCAGGCCCCACCTTAACCTGCTCGGTTTATGTTTTAACAAGATTCCAGGTGATTCATATATACAACGAAGTATGAAAACCATTGGTCTAGAGCAGTGGTTCACAAAAAAGATGGTTCCTGGACCAGCAACATCAGCGTCACCTGAAAAATTGTTAGAAAATGCAGATTCTCAGGCCCCACCTCAGACCTACAGAATCAGAAACTCTGGGATGGACCCCAGCAGTACGTGTTTTAATTGGTGCTGTAGGTGATGCTAATTCGTGATAAATTTTGAGAACCACTCTAGGGTAATGTGTTTCAAGCAGTTTAGGTCATGCACAACCTTGAGAAATACACTTTTAATCATGACTCAGTACACACACTCACATGCATGTGTGACTTAGACATTCCATGAAACAATGCTTATCTTACAATGTGTTTTCTGCTCTGGTATTTTTACTTTTATTCTATTAAATGGATATCTGTGTATAAACTTATTTATATGAAAATACGGTCATGAGCCGCTAAAGTGATTTTACAAACCACTAATGGGTCATGAGCTGCAGTTTGAGAAACAATAGTCTTGAGCAGGCCCCTCTTGATAGTCTGATAAAATTCTAGATCTTTTGTCAGAATAATGCATTTCAAATGCATACAATAATATAGATAGAATTGCAAAAGAAACCAATTTGATTGGCTACCAAAATATTACACTTGTGGTATGGTAATATATGTATCCCAGCTTCTCAGGAGGCTTAGGCAGGAGGATTGCTTGAGGCCAAGAGTTTGAGTCCAGTTGGGGCAATATATCTAGATCCCATCTCTAAAAAAACAAAAATGCCAAGTTTCTTTATTGATAACAAGATTTAATGATGAGTCTAGTAACTATTATCATTTCAAACTAGGGATGAGTATAAATATTTCAAGATATCTGCAGTAACTTACATGATATGAAAATGATTAATTTCTATTGATGACAAGTTATAGTTATTGCTACCAATACTCTGGTTTGTTGCTTTCATTTGTATTTGAAACATGCTAAATTTCATCTCAAGGTAAATGCAAGTAAAGATGTAAATCACCCCCTCCCCAGCTTCATACTTCCAGAATTCTTTTGATGGGCACTTCCTTCCCTGTGGACCTGAGGTTAAGAATCTTCGCTCAAGGGGAACCTGGCTTTAGAGAATAGTTCTTGGCCTTAAAGTTGAGATTCTAAGCAAAAATATCTTCTTGGAATTTCTTGAAACTTTTGCTCTATAGATCTTTTGCTTTATATATCTTTTCTTGTTTTCTGGCACCCTTGTAATGGATTCCTTTATTAAAATGTTATTTTCTGATGTTTTAGTGAGTCCTTGGGGAATCACTTGGAAGCCCAAATGCAGGCTATTGAATGCCCCTGGTTGTTCAAGCCAGATACCTGGGAGGCATCCCCAACGCCAAGAGTTCTAGATTTGGACTGCTTGGATGTGAATCTGGGATTCATATATCTTTGGAAACATTGTTTAGCCTCTCATTACCTCCGTTTGCCCACCTATGAGATGGGAATGACAGTAGCCCCCACCTCATAGAATTGTTCTGAGCATTAAATGAGATATTCCATATATTACGTTAGAACAGTGCCTGGCACGGAGTAAGTGGTTAGTATCTATTATAGTTATCCTTAATCTCTCCCTTTCCCTCTTTGTTTTTTTTTTTTCCTTTTCTGAGACGGAGTTTCGCTCTTGTCGCCCAGGCTGGAGTGCAGTGGCGCCATCTCGGCTCACTGCAACGTCTACCTCCCAGGTTCAAGTGATGCTCCTGCCTTAGCCTCCTGAGTAGCTGGCATCACAGGTACATGGCACCACGCCTGGCCAATTTTTGTATTTTTTAGTAGAGGTGGGGTTTCGCCATGTTGGCCAGGCTGGTCTTGAAGTCCTGACCTCAACTGATCCACCCACTTCGGCCTCCCAAAGTGCTAAGATTAAAGGCTTAAGCCACTGTGCCTGGCCCCTTTCCTTCATTCTTTAAATCCAGTTTATCAGAAAGCTGTGTAATTCTTCCTACAAAATATATTGTAATTCATCCAAAATTTAATTCATCCAAAATTCATCCAAAATTTATTTAAATTTTGCCTACTTCCTCCAAGCTTCCCTGTTCTCATTTGGATTTCTAGCTGGTATCTCTGCTTCTTCTTGTCTCACTCCAATTCATTTTCCATATAACACCCATATGATCTTTTGAAAGTGTAAATGAATAATCTTTTAAAATGTAAATGAATGACTGTATCCCATAAAACCCTTCAATGGCTTCCCGTCAAACCCATCAAACTGCTTCGTCTTTTCCTTGACCTACACTCTTCATCCTGCAAGTTTTTAAACTTGCCCGCTCATCCTCTTTTCTGTGGCCACATTGGCCTTCTCTGAGTTATCTGAATAACCTCATCTGTCCTTCCATTCCTTAATGCCATGCATATGGCCTTCCCGCCAATATGTTGCTGACTTTCCCCAGCCTGTCATATTTCTCATCTCTGCACCTGTTAGTTTCTCAGAGAGCTTTCCCTAACCACCTGCCTAAATTAGGGCACCTTAGGTGGCAGCCCCTTGGCTAGGTTCCTCTTTTAGTAGCCTGAAGCTCCCCAAACATATCACAAAATTAATATTTCCTCTCTATTGGGGAAAAGGATAATTAACAACCTGTGATTATCAAACACGTAACACCAAGAGGAGTATGCACCTTTTCAGACTGCTACGTTTGACGCATTATGAACATTAAGTGATAGCGGAGCTCTTTTAAGAAATTGCTATCTGAATGTTGTGCACACTAGCTCTTTGCTGTTGGTGTTGAAGAACAAAGTGGAGTCTGCCCGCTGAACCTGTCTCCAGTGGGGTGATGGAGTTGTGATAGGGTCTTCCTACTACTGTCAGTCATTTCTGCTCCAAAGCATAGAATAGAAATACTAACATTTCCCTCTTTGAAATAGTTACTTGGTTGCTGATAAAAACCCTTCAAGCTTCTCTCCCCCAAAGTGAATGGTCAGTCACTGTTTAGACATGAGAAAAGACGATGTCTCATAACCAGTGGTTAGAAACCAGTATGGGTGATATCTGTATCCTAGTTAATGTTTAGGTTCAGAGTAAAGAGGCAAAAGAAGGTCCCCCTGACTGGGCTAGGTCAAATTTCTTTGTGTCTTGAATTTTGTTTCCTTGCTACTTATTTTTAATTAGTCTTCAGCCGGAGAATAGAGGCACTCCTGGTTTTTGAGAGTTGCCTGAAACAGTGAGGAAGGAGGTCTTAGGAGTTCAGAGAATGTACCATTTTCACCATCACCTTTGTAGTTCTTGTTTCAAATAAGGGACTTTAGGAATTACATGGGACCCTGAGACAGATGTTGAAATGTAGGACAATCAGTATACATGGGATGCCTGGCAGTTCTGTTCCATGCCCTGTTCGGCTGAATGGTGTTCCTGATTATTTAAAAATGTGATCTCTTTTGGGGAAAGACTTTTTTGTTGTTGTTGTTGTTGTTGGTGTACTTTAACAGAAGCCACACAAAGAAATATTCTTGTTATGGACTGTGGGTAATGATAATCACTTGGAAAATGATGTGTTTAAAAACAAAATACAGTTTTCTTTCTTTTTTTTTTTTTTTTAAGATGGAGTCTTGCTCTGTCAGCCAGGCTGGAGTGCAGTGGTGTGATCTCAGCTCACTACAGCCTCTGCCTCCCCGGTTCAAGCGATTCTCTTGCCTCAGCCTCCTGAGTAGCTGATATTCCAGGAACCACCAGGCCCGACTAAGTTTTGTATTTTTAGTAGAGATGGGGTTTCACCATGTTGGTCAGGCTGGTGTCGAAATCCTGACGTAGTGATCCACCCACTTTGACCTCTCAAAGTGCTGAGATTACAGATGTGAGCTACCACGCCCAGCCAAAATACAGTTTTCTAATTGCAGAAAAGTAACATTAATTTTTAAAAAACCGACCATAATTCAGCCTCCCATTCAAGCCATCCTTTTTATTTTCTGCTGACTTCCCTATAGATGTTTATATGTGTACATTTTTATATAGTTGCAATAATGCAGTGATAGTTTGTATTCTGATTCTTTTCATGTTGTATTTTTCATGTTTCATTTTGAATGGTTAGATAGCATCAAGTACATATGTCATAATTACTTTACCAATCTCATGTTGGATAATTTGTTTTATGATGTATTTTTTTATGATGTATGTTAAATGTGTCTTTGTTTTGTTCTAATTTTGCAGGCAGAGACATTTGTTTGGGTGAACAATGCATCTGCACATTCCCAGAGTGTTGCTAAGGCCAAATACGAATTTTTATTTGGCAGAGCTGAAGGGAAAACTCCAGATACTAGTAAGTATTTCCTGATATCCCTCTTCCAGGTAAAAGATAAGAAGAGCTGTGATTTCACAGTGATTTTTCTCCACCTGCATTACTTTCTTCTTACCTCTGTGAAACCTGCTTGCTCTAATTATTCATCAAAACAATCTTCCCAGGATGTAGAATCCACAAATATTTCATGTAATTCTTGTGTCCTATTCTTGGTAATTTCAAGTCATGTTCTTCGTTTGAAGAATTCTCAGCTTCTGATATTTGAAATTCCAAGAATTAACCAATTTTCATAAGAGTTTTCCATAGTTACCATTGTTGTATATATTGACTAATGTATTTTTGGTGGTTTTTTTTTTTTTTTTTTTTAGACAAGGTAGTGCTCTGTCATCCAGACTGGCATGCAGTGGCATCATCCTAGCTTACTGCACCCTTAACCTCCAGGCTCAAATGATCCTTCTGCCTCAACCTCCCAAGTAGCTGGGACTACGTGCACATGCCACCATACCTGACTAATTAAAAAAATCCTTGCCACCATACCTGAATAATTAAAAAAATCCTTTTTTTTTTTTTTTTTAACATACAGGGTCTGGCTGTGCTGCCCAGGCTGGTCTCAAACTCCTGGCCTCAAGCCATCCTCCTGCCTCAGCCCCACAACGCACTAAGTTTACAGATGTGAGCCACCGTGCCCAGCCCTTGGTGCTTGTTTTTCACTAACAAAATATATTATTAGGAAACATTTCTACAATGATTTTCAGACACTGCAGTCTTTACTTTGAAGGTTATTGTAGCTCTTGCTTATTTTTAATACTTTTTAGTATTGGCCTAATCTAGTCAGCAAACTTAGTATTCTGGAACTAGAAGTAACATTCTTCAATTTGAAACAGGTAAATTTAGAACAAATAGAACTATTACTAGTAACAATATTAGCTAACCTACTAGATCACTTACCGTGTGTTAAGGCACTATGCTAATCATCACAATAACCGTATATAAAAGTTGGTACTGTTATCCCCATTTTCCAGATGAGGGATTGAAGTAATCTCCTCCCAATCACAATCACTCACACAGTAGAGCCAGGAGTTTAATGCAGGTTTGTCTCACCGCAGAGCTCATCCTGTTAAGCCAATACTTTTTTGAAGGCATTTTCCTAGAAGGAGGTACAAGATAAAAATGCAAATAGCTTTGTATAGAATTTCAAAACATTTAACTTTATCTATGGAAAACTGATGATAAAGGGGATATTAGCATATCTTGAGAGTTAGATTGGAAAAGGCTATTGCATGTGGTTAATATTCTCTGATTTCTGGATCTAGACTTCTTGAATTTGAACCCTGGCCTTGTATCTTACAAACTGTGTGACCTTGCAAAGTTATCCAACTTATTTGTGGCTCAGTTTTCTCATCTGTAAAATGTGATTATAGTGACATATGTCTTAGAATTCTTTTGAGTTTGAATTAAGTTTTCATTTATAAAGATCTTAGAGTCATGTCCCATCTCTACTAAAAATACAAAAAATTAGCCGAGCATGGTGGCGGGCACCTGTGGTCCCAGCTACTCGGGAGGCTGAGGCAGGAGAATGTCGTAAACCCGGGTGGCGGAGCTTGCAGTGAGCTGAGATCACGCCCCTGCACTTCAGCCTGGGCAACAGCGCAAGACTCCATCTCAAAAAAAAACAAAAAACAAAAAAGATCTTAGAGTTATGCTTGGTATGTAATAAGTACTGTAAAAGTGTTTGCTGCTATTAATTGTTGTGATAACCATCACCATCATCATCATCATGTCCCTGACCTTTGAGGCTGATATTATAAGTGCAATCCTTACATTTTTCAGCTCCATCATTATCTGACACTGATTTTTGTTTTGGGAAGACGAAGAATCTGACTTAATATAGCTGTTGCTCAGTTGAAGAAAGCCAACTATGAACTCCACATTTTTGACTCACATGTTAGATGGGATTATTTAATAACTCCACAGTATTTGAGGATACCAAGAAGGCAGTGGATACACAGCCATATAATAACTTCTTTTAGCTTAAAAAGTGAATGTTTATTAGATATCTTAATCATTAGGAACTCTTAGATACAGTAAAAAAAAAAAAAAACAGCTAAATTATTTTAAAAAATCATTTGGCTTTTATCACAGTGTCCTAATTTAGAGGAGAATGTGTTTCATAGTATATCTCTTATACTTAACATGTATTGTAGCCATTTATGCTGTTTGTCATGTATCATAAATACCTAACTATTCTGGGCTTGAAGTTTGAGGTACCTAATCATCTGTTTACTCGTTCCCTGATGGGGGTACTGATTATAGTTATCCCAAGGCTTTTAAAAACTCTGGCATTGGCCGGCATGGTTGCTCACACCTCTAATCCGAACACTTTGGGAGGCCGAGACAGGTGGATCACCTGAGGTCAGGAGTTTGAGACCAGCCTAGCCAACATGGTGAAAGCCTGTCTCTACTAAAAATATAAAAATTAGCTGGGCGTGGTGACATGTGCCTGTAATTCTGGCTCCTCGGGAGACTGAGGCACGAGAATTGTTTGAGCCCAGGAGGCAGAAGTTGCAGTGAGCTGAGATCATGCCACTGCACTTGAGCCTGGATGACTGAGTGAGACTCTGTCTCAAAAAGTAAACAAAAAATTTAAAAAATAAAATAAAACTCCTTGGCAAAGACTTAACTTCGAATGTGACATTGTGATTTTTTTGCTAATTAAGTTTTTTTTTTTTGACTATAATAAAACTGATTTTTACTTAACCATATAGAGATAATACCAAATGTCTGCATAGTTCTCGGACTTATTGGTGAGTGAGTTTGGTTTTTCCTTACTCATGGGTTTTGAGTAGTTTTCCCTGTATCAGCAGCTCAGATATATCGTAGCCGAAGCAAATCAAAATGACACTTTAAACCTTTTGTTTCTTATTTGCCTTGGTAAAAATGGTCGGTGGTAGTTGCTGCTGGTGTGATGTTATTCTGTAGGTGTGAAAGGATGCATACATTATTGAACAAATACATTTAATGAGCACCTATGCACGGGTTACTTGTGTTTGGCACATTGAAGGTGCAAAGACGTGGAAGATGTGGTTCTTACTCATAAGTTTCTTATTCTTTAGCTAAGGAGAAACAATATGTCTCCAAATGACTAGCAAGAAAGAATGATCACTTTCAGTTCATCTGGTGATGACTCCATGGAGGAGGTGGGAGTTGAACTTGGTCTTGAAGGATGACTATACTTCTGAATAGTAGAATTTTGCAGGAAGAGCATTTCAAATGGAAGAAATGGCATAAGCAGGAAACAGAAATTGTTTGAGGAACTGGGGAAGAGTAGCCCGGTTAGTCTGCAGACATCATCGTTGAGAGATAAATTCAGAAATATTACCATTTAGAAAAGGGCCATATCATGTAGTGCCTCCTTAGGCAAGGTGAGACTTTACAGACTTTTAAAAATAAGTAGGTGAGGAAAACGAGCTTCAGAGGTATTAAAGAGCATGCCTAAAGGCACACAGTTGAGATGCTTTAGAATCCGGTTAAGAATCGAGTCTCTCTGGTGGCCTATGAGAAGTCTCGGCTTCAGTGCAGTCCTCTTATTAGGTACAGCATGCCAGTAATTGGAAGTTATTTGATGTAATGAGGGAAGATAGGCACCTTCATGTGTTACTCAGTTGTTTGGAGAGTTGTAAAACTTCATAAATGGTCCTAAACTTGCTTTTTAGAGTTTGTGTGGGTTTTTGGAACTCTCTGACTGTAATTACTCCTCACAGCTGTCTGTGGCTGGAATAAAGCTGTATCCTGTTCCTCCCACTTTACTGAATGCAGGGTGCCCGTGGCAGCAGCAGCGGAGCCTGGGTCCCAGCCTATGACAGGGGCCTGTGGATAGATCGCTGAGCCTCCTCAGTTTCTTCATCTGAAAAATAGGGATAATGGTAGTAACTTCTTCATAGAGTTGTAGTGGAAATTGAATGAGATTGTGAATACACAGCTCAAGGTTTGGCACATAGTACCCAGTCAGTGTTTAGCTGTTAGGAAACTAGTTTATATATTGAAGTAGCAGAATCCTTATGTTGGAAGAAATAGTAGAAGTTCTTTTGCATTTTATAGATGAGGAAACTGAGGACTTGAGAATGAATTAATTAGCCCCAAACTTGTTGGTAGGTTTGAGACCATGATCCAGGTTCCTCGGTTCTGCATCCTGTTTGAAATGTGACATGTGTTCTTGTGGAAAAACCAACTCTCAGGTTGGAAAGATGTAAAAGTCACCTCACCCCACTCTCCTGAAATATGCTATAAATGTGCTGTGTTAGAATGGCAACCAGGATCAGAATACACAGGCTCTGAGGGAGGCCTTCGGGGACTTTTCTGTTGGGGAAGGTACCTGATGACTAGCGGAGGAAGGAGAAGAACTGTTTTCACATTGCCTCCCTGCTGTCGTCACCTGAACTGTTCGGAGCCCATCACTGAAAGAAAAGAGTTGGGTAGGGCTAGTAGGGAAGCCATAGGAAATGTGTTATACTTTTAAGGTTCTAGAGTGATTGTGTAGTGAGAGCTTAGCTGCTTGGAAGCCTCTGAAAGACATACCGAAATTTTATTAAAATGTTAGTCTTCTTTTAGTTGGAACTCATTCTAAATCATATTGTCTAAGCAAATTTTCTCTTTATGGTGATTTATGGTCAGAAGTATGAATAGGTAAGGTGCTTGCTGGACTTAGATGTAAATGGATTCTGTAGCATATGATTTTAAGAAGTATCTCATGTCAGTTTTTAAAAAATTACCTGTTTTATTTTTAAAGGTAAAGTGAATCATGTGTAGATACACGACTCCTTGCAGTGTAATATGGTTCTTTTCAGCAAAATTAACTAGATCAGGGTTTCTCAACAGTTTGACTATTGACGTTTTGTGTTGGAGATCCAACAAAGGACTTGTATCTAGAATACATAGAGAGCTCTTATATCTCAGTGAGAAGAAGGCAAACCCCCAATGGGAAAAAAAAAATGGGCAAAAAATTGTAACAGATATGGATGGCA